CACATCATCATCTTGTATGTGAGATTGCGGTAGGAATCCTGAAACTCCTCTTGGATAATGTCTCGATAAGTCTCGCTTTCCACTTTGATTATTTGGTCGACTGCTGGATCTCGCGTTCCCATCATAAACAGGACAACCGCTTTGAAGTATTTGTACCATCTTTTGTTGCCCCATGTCCTGCGAATGAACATGCGGTTCTTTAATCGACCGGGTTCCGTATGCACCACAACCAGCAGCGCTGCGTTGGACCGTTCGCCCTCACACGCATTCGGCTCGAACAATCGAAGTGCAAAGTTATGAGGGTTGACGATTTTCCGATTTTTCGAGCCGGCCACTAAATTTATTTGTCTGGGCGTTCGATTGTATGGACGGCTGATATTACACAGCGCCAATTTCAAATCTGTAACGGTGGTATATCTTTTAATAAGCAAAATAAAATATGCCAAAAGACATAGATAAACGCTGATCAGTACCGAATAGCAGATGATCATTAGCATTTTCCTTTGAGATGCCATCTTCTGAAAAGCTGAGGTTTAGAATGCACTAGCATTGAGGAATTTCAAAATATTACCTTAGAGGTCAACGGTCGCGATCGGTCATGGAATATCAATTGCTTTAACGGAACGTTTCCATCTCTGGTTAGAAAAAAATGCTTTGCCGTCATGGGACTCGGTATTTTATTTTCAAGCTAAAATATCAACATAAAATATCCATGAGATTAATTCGTCTCCAGGGTTAAATTGCCCCCCAAATTCCACATCTTAAGCCGTTTTCCTGCACATTTTATTTATGGCTTTGCCCTTATGACTGTGGATCTCTGACGGTCAGTTCGAGTACGCAATGCTTAATCCAAACTAGCTTATGGTTTTAAGAAAGGAGTTTAAAATTAACGGAACGGTTCCTGCCATCAAATCCATTTACTCATCTACCTTTCATCATAGCTCTGAAAGATGAATCTTATAAACAGCATAGGGTGAGGTTTATTTATGTACAACGTAAACGATTCGTACATCAGACGATCTATTAATACCGAGATTTTGGCCTGTGTCTAAGGGGCCTTTTTAAAGGTAATTGATGCCATAAGTTCTTTTGTCGTTCGTTGTGCCTGGTAGAGCCAGAAGACGAACTTTTTGTCTCTACTGCTGGTTAACTAACGTGCCTGTTGATAGCAAGGGCGATAATGCGACAACAAGATTGCAGATCATTAATTCTGGTTGGCGTTGTCATAAGACTGGATGAATAACGCTTCTTTGATGCACCTGTTCAGCCAATGCCTTCTTTTGATAATATCGGTACAAACTGACCATCAGACACGTTTCCCTCCAGTGCCGCATGCTGCACGATCTCACAGGTTTTTTGCATCGTTCCATAACTTCGCTGATGAGCGATGCCAGGCTTAGGTATTTTCCCGGGTGCTTCCTTACGACATACTATTCAGTCTGATCAATTATGTCCTTCAGTTTGACAGTCTGTTCTCTGCTCCATGATTGACGGGGTTCCCCATTTCTTCCCGCATATATCCCGCAGAAACAAGGTAATTTGTTGATCCAGTCGAATAAATTACTATTTTCATAGTTGCTTAATGAAGTATTATGATTATTAGAACCCAAATACCTTACATTTATGTAAAATGCCATTATTAACATGATGCAAATATATGGAAAGCGTCTGCTCTAGACTGCAGTTGTGCGAGAGCGACTGTGGTTCTACCGAAGCTCAAAATATAGCACAGGATTATATAAGTTGAAACCACTACCTGACGTGTCTGCCTTGGCAATCCCAAGGGAAATTATAGAAGATTATGCTGATAATATCACCACGAATTTAACTGGATAATTACTCTTATCATCATTTCTTCCTTAAGAATTTCAGCGCTGCACAAATTCAGGGATCTTTCTGTCGAGGCTGCAAATGCAGATCGTTTATTATCTATGGCTATGTACGAGTTGAAGTTTGAGTATCTATCAGGGTTGGTATGTGTATGAGGAACTTTAGTTTCGTAGCATTTACTAGAGGTTTCAAGACAGCGATAAAACGCAAACTAGAACTACTTTCTCGTTTGATTGTTAACTCAGCAATTTGAGGGAAGAGGCCACTGTGATGGCAAAAATGTACCATTAAGCTATCTTTCGACCCTTATTATGATCTTTATTCATTACTTGTTATTAACACCTTTATTTACCCGTTGGAAACAGGTCAGGGTTTTCAAAGTATCTCATAAAAATTTCAGCAAAGGAGTTAGGCAAGAGGGTTGTTGTTTGGCACCCGTTTGATTTGTTTTAAGAAAGCGCCATCGAATGGGAAATAATTCGACTATACCAAATAAAACGTTGTTAACTTTAGAGCAGAAATAACTGAGAAATTCGTACATTGCTTCAGCAAATTATCTCCTTTAAGAAGCTCATCAATTTTCTCAACATTCAAGTCAACAGTAATATTAATAAACAAGTTTTAAGACCATCGCAACTGATAATAATGCTCCATTCAACGGGTCTAAGCGTTTCTTTCTTTACAATACTTGTGAGAAATTTTGATGTATGCTGCATTTCTTGCATTTTCGCACTTAATTCTGGGATCTCTCGAAAAATTATTCGTAGCAACCTCTCCCGGGACTCAACAAGCCCCTTTCCTTAAAAATAACTCACAAGACACGGACTGAAACGTCCCTACTGGCTAATCACCCCACTGGCCATATTTTTTTGCTTTGTTCCTAAATAAACACTGTCGTATAGCGCTTACAGAGTGACAACCCGACGCATTCTCAACCAATGATAGATATTGCCCAAAAAAGTGATTGCGGAAACAATCCGCAGAAATGACACTCTGCCGAACGATTGTTCGTACAACTACACTGCACAAATTTCTGAGTACTGTAATGAGCAGCAATGTCTTGTGTGACCAGCTGCTTTTCCTGAAATCACCGTAGTGGTGGTTGGGACATGTGATTAGTATTTCAAAGAAGAAACTTGCAAGTCGCACTCTTTCGGCAATGTTATCTGAAAGATGATGAACTCCAGAAAACATTAATATTATGATATTAATTTGACATTCAATTTTTATTCAAAGGGACAAGCGGCACAGAATATGATCACATGGCTTTACAGTGGATAAACTCGAACGATTTTTTTCGATTATGTTTCTAGGCGCATAACTGGGCCGTCCTTGTCACAGAATTGATTTTACTTAACTGCACATAATCGCTCATTGCGTGCTGGTGCTTCTGTGATGTGTTTACTCTTTCGAGGTTCACAGTGGAGTGACGTGCATTTGTGTCTAATGAAGCGCAGATTACTCGTCATTCATGGCATGGGACATAACCTGGAATCATGAGAAACGAGTCTTGACCTAGTAGAGCACTCAGCCAACCAAAACAAGGTTGAAACCCTCCAAGAAACTACTCGAGAAGTGGGAAACATAACGACATGCTTACTTTCGTGCGTTCAACTCGACGACCTGCACAATCGTGACAAAACAGCAGACAGACAGATCCCACTATTATACGCTTGATAAAATCTTGACGAAAGCGCCGGTAAGCAACTTTTTACTGTTTTACGTTAACCATATGTTAAAGCTTGCCAGGTGCAATGAAACATCAGCGTTTGCTTACTGGACATTAGGGCGTATAGAGCAAAATCAACTCAAGTAATTTCCTAAAGTATGGATGCGGTTAAAAACCATTAATTAATTTATATCAAAATGTATACCAAAATAATGTAGTAGTAAGTATAAAAATAATGTATACCAAAATAATGCTAGGAACACAATGGTGTACAACTTTAGCGAATGAAATATGGTCCAAGAGGAGCTAAAATTTGCTTTGCGGATACACAATGGAAATAAATGAAAATTGAGGCACTGCTGTAACAAAGATTATAATTCTACTGTTCACATGAAGGAGGGGGGTCGCTCTCCTTTAATTTCATATGGTCAGAAGACCAAGGTCAAAGTTTTCCAGAGGCATAATTAACGATAAAGCTGACATTAGCATGTTCGATTCAACTTTCAACGCATCCACACAGAAACAGCGTTTCACCTCACACCGCTGGCTTCGCTTCGCTATGCAGCTGAATTATAAATCACCTGT